GTTTTAGGCCGCTCAAGGTATGACATTTTTGCTTCTATTTCTTTGGAGGTTAGGAATTTCCCATCAAGACTAATGGGTGAAAGTTAGTGCTCCAAACGGGCCCTCGAAAAGCCTCTTGCGATTCATCTGATTTTTCCAAACGTTTCGGAGTTATGACGTTTTCCATCTTCACACATCTGGAAAGGGGCACAGCCCTAGATATATTTTAAATTTTTTAGGTTGCCAATAAAGTCATTCTAACTAAATAGCTCTTTCAGAAATGTTCTTGCAACTTATTTCAAATTTTCAACCGTTTCGGATATATGACATTTTGAATTCCCAGAGAGCTGAAAGGGGGCGAAGCCCTAGAACAGTCTCAGTTTTTTTACGTCTGAAGCCCCAAATAAATCTTCCTCTTTCAGGCTCTTTCAAAAAGGTCCATTCATCTAATGCGATATTTTGCAGCGTTTCGAAGATACGGCGTCTTCCCTCTTCAGGCCGCCGAATGGGGGCGAAGCCCTAAATGAATCTGCACTTGTTTCATATCGAAATAAAGTGCTGTAAGCTCTTTTGTGAAAATTTCCCTTGAACCCAAGCGACTGTTTCAAGCGTTTCGTAGTTATGGCAGCTTCCATCCTCAGCCACCCGATAGGGGGGGCAAAGCCCCAGATGAAACGCGCTTCGAAAACCATCCAGCAAATACAGGCGAAATTCCCATCGGTCCGTTTTTCTGCCACAAATCGCACAACACGGCACCGCTGTTACAGAGACTCGATGCGCCAACGACATACGGGGGACGGTCGCGAAATGAACGAGTCGCGCTCGCGCCTCGGCCTCGGACTGTCCTCGACGCTGGACAGACACGCGCAACAGCCGGACACCAACGGCCTGGACCTCTACTACAACAGCCGTCCGCCGGACACCAACTGGGGCTACCAGCCGCCCCCGCCCGTCATCACCGAACAGCCCAAATCGTCCCAACCCCACTTTCCCCAATACGAGCGCGGCTACCCGAACACGCTGGAAAGTCTCGCCGAGAAGGTCCATTCGTTCGGCATGGGGCGGCGCATGTCCGCTGGCGGTCAACCGGCCCCTTCAAGGTGGGGGAAACGCTGTGCGCACCCTATGCGCACAACTACCAGTTCTGCGCCTGTTGCAGGATGACGTCACAACAGAGCCCCGCCTCCCACTACTACGTGCAGCACGCAGGAACCGGAAGTCGCAGGATGATGCCCAGGTCCGGATCCGACCAGCATTTGCCCCATACGGAATACACGGACTACAGCAGCATCACGCCGGCGGGGCGCCACAGTTTGCTGCGCTCCAGCCTCAAATCGGGCTCCACCTTGAGCAGGCGAGTGTCACCATGAAACCTGTCAAAATTGGCAGCTCATTTGTCAACAAAACTGTCAAAATTGGCAGCTCATATGTCAGCAAAACTGTCAAAATTGGCAGCTCATACGTCAGCAACACTGTCAAAATCAAATACTTTTACCCCATTCAGATACAACCAGAGGTTCGTGGACCAGGCGGCAGTGGCGGCGCAGCTGCAGTCAAAGTACGCGACCGGCGGCCAGTACGGCACTGCGCTGCGCAGAAACCGCGGCAGCTTGGACTATTCGAGCGACTCTGAGGCGACAGTGGCGGCGCGCAGCGGCTACTACTACTACCGGTACAGACGTGAACCAATTGCGAGACAGTCGGGACGTTTTTTGTTGTTTGTGTTGTTTAGGGACCGGCCAGCAGCGCCATCTGCGCCAGTGGCGCACGCCACTATTCCGTCGCTGGGCCGCCAGGGGTCGCTGCCTGCAAGCGCCGACGTCGGCACCAAGTTCAACTCGTTGCCGCGCGACGCCCGAGGATCCACCAGGTACAGGGTGGCCCAAGTGGATTTTCCGTTAACATTCGCTGCGTTTCAGGCTGGCGATGAATAAGCGATTTGGGGACCGGGGCGGTGTTGCCCTTCTGCAAGACGACGCCGATGGGGCGCTTTCAGCCCCGGAAATGCCGTCGATTCGACGCGATCGCGGTAAGGACACTTGTTCAGTTTGGCAACAGCGCGATTTTTTTGCAGCTCGCTTATTAAGCATTTTACGGCCCAATCGGATGTCGGCTTTTTTATGCACGTTGCCACGCCCTGTCCAGTGCGGCGCTTGAAATCGCGCCAACGTGGCGGGTTTTGGGGACTTTTCAGCTGCAGCGTTTTGGGCGTGGGACTGGATAACCTGATCAATCCCGATGTTTTCTAAAGAATCGCGTTGCTTTTGTGTCCACCGACCTTTGGACTAAACGTTGCCAATTAATCCACGAATTTCCTTGGCGCAAACCTTCAAACGCCCATAACTCGCTTAATCATCAGCTGCGCAAAAATCTCCAAGGAACATTTTCGAAGCACTTTGACCTCCTCTAGCAGCTGAACAGCTTCAAACTCTTCCACCCGTTCGGGTTTGGAAAATATCGCAAAATTAAACTAAACGGGGCGCATTCGCCATTGCGTCAGCCACGCCCTCAGCAGCTAAAAAAGCACTAGAAGCGATCAGTTGACTGGACAACCCCGACGGCTCATGGAAGGTGAAGACTCGAAAACGGTGAAATGGGCCTTACATCCGCAAAATTCCCGAAATTTCATCGGATTTCTAGCCAAAATCAAAAAAAAAATGAGGAAAATTCGCGGCTTTAGCAAACTGAATGCGTGAAAAAATCAAAGCTATCGAAACGGTCCTCACGACTTATTGGATTTTCTCCACCGTTTCGGAGATATGACGTTTTCCATCCTCAGACACCTGAACGGGGGGCGAAGCCCTGGCTGGATTACAACCGTTTCGGTGTCAAAAAACCGCCTACGAGGCGCTCTTCCGAAAAGTTCCGACGACCTACTGGCTGTTGCCAACCGTTTTTGAGATACAGCGTGTTTTACACGTACGGGACCGCGAAAAATTGAACATTTTTGTGCAATAAAAATTCGCAAAAAATCCCCAAAACGCTCCAACAAACTGCAGTTTGTGGCACTCATAGAGTCAAGTGCGCTCTATGCAGGGGCGTATCAAGTATTTTTCTACCTCGATTGGTTTTCTCGCAAAAAAATCTTGAATGTCACTATTCCAAAAAAGTTGGGCGCGAAGTTAAAAGTGCGCTCGCTTGAACCAAAATTCGCCAAAAATCCTCAAAACACTCGAACAAACTGCAGTTTATAGCACGAATAGAGTCAAGTGTGCTCTATGCAGGGGCGTATCAAGTATTTTTCTAGCTCGATTGGTTTTCTAGCAAAAAAATCTTGAAGTTTACTGTTTCAAAAAAGTTGGACGCGAAGTCTAAAGTGCGCTCGCTTGAACAAAAATTCGCCAAAAATCCCCAAAACGCTCCAACGAACTGCAGTTTCTGGCACTAATAGAGTCAAGTGTGCTCTATGCAGGGGCGTATCAAGTGTTTTTCTAGCTCGTTTGGTTGTCTCGGAAAAAATTCTTCAAAGTAACTGCGTCCAACTGGAAATTTCCACGCGTTTTGCCGATACGACGCTGGGCGACTTTAGGTGGCTAAAAAGGAGCGCAGCCCTAATTCGACCTACCACTTGTTGAGGCCAAAATATCACCCAACAAACGCTCTTTGCAAAAGCTTAGCGGTTAAACGCGATGTTTCCAGTCGGTTTGCCTCTGAACCGACCCGGAACGTTGAAACACAATTCAGAAATTGACCGGTTGATTGCACTCAAAAAGCCCCCCAAAAAACCCGCAAAACTCCAGGCAAAAAATGGCACTTACTTTGCTTGCTGCTGCTCCCCATCGGCTCCAACGGGCCCTCAAAAAGGCTGCAGGGCAAAGCGCTCCAACCTCCACTCGCTGTTGACCAAGTGACAGCAAACGTCACTCTGGAAAATCGCCCAATTTTCCCGGAAAAAGCCCGTTCCGACCGGGAAAATACCACCAACCAGTAACGCGGGGGTTTCTTTACCGGAAAAACCGCATTTCTCGGCCGGGCCGCTGGAAAAACCCGAAAAAATCGCGAAAACCACCCGCAGCTAACCGCGCAATGACACAAAGCGACGCACTGAAACAAGTGACAGACTAGAACGAGATGAACCGAGCTGCGACGAGCGCGTTTGCATGCAAAGCTGCCAGAGGGACGTGGAACGTATGTCGCAGCGTGGCTGCGCACTATTTTGTGGGGGAACTTCGGGCAAATTGGGCCAAATTCGATGAGAATTTTTTTGTCAATCCCGGATTTTTTTCGGGAAAATTCGCGCTCTCCGTATGTAAGCGAGATCAACGGCCTTACGCGGTGAAACTGGGGAGTTCGGTCAAAACCACTGAGTCAAACGGCGCTGTTTATATTAGGCCACGCCCATACCCATCCCCCCTCCATGCGCGCACGCCAATCAGCATCGCCCATTTGCACTTGATCGTTGTTTGCTTCGCAAGGCCGCATTCCGTCGTCACCTAGTGTCTTCTCCTCAGATGAGTACCGCCAATGGCTGAGCCGCACCCCCTCCACGTCTGCCATCTATGAGCAGATCCGAGCATCGCGCGACGTGCTCAATCAGCAGCGCGCCGCCCGCTTCACCTACAGTGCGGAAAACATTCACGACGCCCTGAAAAACGCAAGTTTTCCGCATCATCAGTTGCCCTGCGATGGAGGTTAATTTGAGAAATTTTCCAGATGGAAAGCGGCGTCTACAGCTCGTACGGCCGGCCAGGAACCACCTCCACTTTGGACCGGCACTTTAGCAGGCCGCAACAGCCCAACATCCCCGCCAGGTCGCTTTCCACCCAGCATATCACCAGTTCAGGTGAGAATTTGAGGTTAAGAAGCGGGGGTTGGCTGACGGTTGTGGCGTGTTGCAGCGCTGAGCAACAGCCGATCGCCATCTATGCGCCGCATGCGGCAACTACTCGATTTGGACAGTTCCCGAGCGGGGGCGGCACCGAGCCCCGTCCCCACTCCGAGCGGCACGCTGCCGCGCGGGCAGCGCCAGCTGGACATCAACCCGGCAGGTAACAACATTGAGAAAATAAAATAATAAAAAAATATATTGTTTATTTCCTCTATGAGGAACAAGTTGAGAGGCGGCTATTAACTGAAGAAAAGCCTTGCGACGTTGCCACCTTTGCCAATGAATAAGAGCGGTGAATTTGAAATAATCTAGCGATGCTAACATTTTATTACATTAATGACTGGGATTAAGGCACACGCAAATATTATCTTTGCAACATTTTTTCCAAAACTCTGGTCCCTAACGAAAACATGCCATCGCAAAAAAAAAATTCCTGCCAAATCGCTTCAAGCCGGAAAATCGCCCGGTGCGCCCCTGTAAAAGCGCTGTTGCCCCTCTCAGCGCTCAGACTTTCATTGCAACGAAGCACTCGTTCATTAGGCAACGTCGCACGGATTCTGTTCTGTCATTAGTCGCTTCCACGGGTTGCTCGGCAACCCGTCACTCCGTCCAACCGAAACGATCTGGTTGCAGAATTCCTGAAGTACAAGATTGAGAAGCCCGGCAACATTGCCGGGCTCACGCAGCTGGGCGCGGGT